CCTCCTAGCCATGATGGACTAAAATCATGAACAAAATAAACCCTTTCTTAGTTGCTCCTTCCGCTCTTTTGAAACAGAGACAAACGCCTGGTTAACAGTACAGAGTTATCAAGGAGTTGTCTCCTCCCATCCTCGTTTAGTACCAAGCCTCTGGGATCTGATGTAACTTTCACATGTACAGACTATCTCAGTTTGGACGCTTCAAGGGCTCAGTGGCCATGGGTGACTAGCGAGTGTCTACCTTACGGATCAGGAAACTCGGGGTCGAAGAGGTAGTTGCTTATCCTAGTGGGGACAGAGGCAGAAAGAACCACTGTACACCCGGTAAAGTTCAAACATCATTTAAAAGGGACCTGTTCTATATCAATAAAGGAAGCTCTGATCCATCAGTACACAGCTCACCTCATGGATTAAAGAGGAAATAAAGTGACTTGTGACAAGTCCTTGTGTCAATTGTTTGACTCAAGTTTAAGACCTTGGCAGTGTCTTACAGACCTCCTGACGGCCAGTGAGGAGTTGGTGCAGCTTAACTTTGAGGGCTTCCCCCCAATGCCGAATCCATAGCAGGACTGCTTGGTGTGGTAGAAAATTGCTAACTACCAACGGACATAGTAGATGAGATCACTTCCAAACAGGATACAGCCTCACAACAACCCGCTCTATTTATAGAAACAGCTGGCTCGCCCAACTCCTACTCTCTACCAAATAGAAAAACAGCCAAAGGGTTTGATAAATTTAGGTGCCTCTGGTACCTATTGTCAGTAGTGACTAAAACTTTGAGTTGCATGATGTAATTCATCCCTTGGAACTATGTAATGAATGCATTCAGTGATCAGATTCCCTGATGGTAAAACAGAGAAAGAGGAAATTAAAACAAAAAATCTCCATCCCTGCTGGATGGGTCAGAGGTTTGAATACATGAACACATGTGATCTGCTTCCTACATGAGTGTGTTTTTGTAAGCCAGCAAGATGCTTCTTGTGTGTTCACAGTTCCTGACGGCATTTTTTGTGATTAAGGAAGAAACAGTGGAATTACGGAACTCGAATGGGCTCTTAATGTCGCTTCAATTACCCCACAGCACAGCAGTGTTTATTCACTGAATAACTATGAGAGATATGAATTATTCTAGGCCGATTATCATTACTGATTATGGAAAAGACTACTGTGTATTAAATAGTGTGGGTTTACAGATCAAAACTAATCAGATGGAAGTTGTTTGGAAGATGCTTTAATTTTTCCCCATCTCACATGTTAGAGCACTGGCACTCTCCTTCTCAAGAAGTTCTTACCCCACCAGGTATTGCTTAGGCTCCAAGGGAGGACATCTCTGAGTGTCTCGAAGGCAGATGGATGTGTCATTGGGAAATCATCCTGTCTACCCAGAACTTTTCCTTAAGCTGAAGGCTATGGTTGGATACTCCTTGACCAGATCCGAGGCTCCACGGTAGAGTTTAAGCCCCACTATTAAGACTAGGAGGTGGAACTCAATCTGACCACAGCATTGAACTGAGGGTTCTGGAGACAATTAGGATGAGACAGGGACTAGTTAAGAGGACTGACTCCTCTTCCCGAAGACCACGGTCCATTGCCACACCTACACATGGCTCACCACCATCTGTAGCTCCAGTCTCAGGGGATCTGGCCATTTTGAGCAGCAGGCATGCAAACGATGCACCAATATGCATGCAGGCAAAACCCAAACACATAAAATAAGATAAAAATCTAATCAGCAACACAGCACCTCTACATCTCCATGTTTCAAGTTCCAGGCTGGGCACAGTTTAGTCTATTTAAGTTTGTGTGTTTACCACAGTTTGTTCTACAGTTCAGCCTGTATCTCCTCTACCCCCAGCTATTATTGTTCACAGCACTTATTACATGTATCTAAGTTAATCATTTGTATTTATATTTATGATTTACTTTCTATTTCTGCCGTTGGTCCCTGACTATGCTCGACATATACTATACTCTCAATAAATATCTGCTAAATGAATGCTGTTCAGATCGGTACAGACTCTGAATTTCTAATTAAGATAAAATTAATATGAAACTTTTCATCGAAGCCCATATTTCCAGTTGACCAGTAAGTGCATTAGGCAAGGCAACATTTAATTCTAAATTAAAAACAAGCATCACTACAGTCAAGAAGCCAATCAGGAGTAGCAGTGAGAGTATGGGAAATCAGTCCACAGATGTTCACCTCTGGAGCCCCAGCACCCTGAGCAAACACAGAGCAACTGCTTAATATGTGTTTGGTAAAGGCACGCACAGCCACTTACTCTCTATGCACGTCGCTGTGGGGCAGCGAGGTAAGTTACACCAGCATAGGTTGAACTGTGGCAGGTGGGGGCATCCCAGGTAAAGGGAGGGTCTGCCCCAGCACACAGAGGCACAACCCCATTCACGCCCGGCAGCATTTCCAACTTGAAACACCCAAGCGAGGAAGCTTTCAACCCCATGGGGTGGAACAGAGATTTAATTTATGTCAGATTCAGACGCAGAGACCTCCAGCAGAGTTCCATGGAGTGGGTTCCTGAGCTCAGAAACTACCTAACTGTGATCGCACTTGGGAGGAGGGGGTTAAGTTGAGACACCTAAAGTAAAGGACAAAAGACAGCCTGGCACGTAGTAGGCTCTCCACAGCCACTAATACTTTCTTTCCTCTCTTTTACCCAACTGCAGGCTCAGGCTCTATCAGGGCAGGGAAAACGCCTATTCTGACCCTCGGTCTAGCCCGTGAGAGGGAGCCAGGCTTTAACTTGAACTTCTAACTTCACCCATAGACCAATTCGTGCGATCATTTGAATTGTTTTTCAAAAATAATTTGTAGTGTAATGAGCTTGCAATTAGAATCCCAGCAGGCATTAGGAGCTAATTAGCTCCAATGAACACAAGTTAACAAATAAGAATATATGCTTAAAATAGTCAAGAAAGAATAGTAAGGGGAAATTTCATATCAAGTATAATAGCTCACAACAAAAACGTATAATCTATGACAAATCAAAATTACAGCCACATGGTAGAGAATACCCAGATAACCTCAAGATATATGCATATCATTTTAATATTCAGTGGGAAAGTTATATTATCTCATGAATGGTGCTGATACAACTGTCTATCCACTTAGGAAAAAACAGTAGACCCCAGAAATATTTTACATACGAAAAGAATTTCTGCACAGATGAGGGACTTCAGGGCAAAATCTAGCAATCCAGGATCTGGTAAAGAGCACCAGTTGCTCTTCCAAAGGACCCATGTTCCATTCCCGGCACCCACATATAACTTACAATCACCTGTAACATCAGTTCCGGGGACCTGACGCCCGCTTCTGCTCTCAACAGACACCGGGTACATGTGGGCGTATACACATACATGTAGGCAAAGCACTCATACACATAAAGTAAAATAATTAATATATATATATAGCAATATAAAAATCTAAAAATAAATTAGAAAACTACCTATATAATCTAAGGTTAAGGAAAATCTCAACAAAGGCAGGAAATCCAAAACAATACAAAAGAAAAAGCAGACAGACATATCTGACTATATAAAAATTAGGCATCTTTGCACGGCAAAATATATTGTAATTAAAAGCTAATAGCAGTAAGAATGAGTCAATGCTAACAGATAAATAACCAATTTGAAAAGATATTATTAGTGGAGATACACAAATGGGTAAATACGGAAATTTTCATAGAACTCTTGTAAAACAATAGTGAAACAAAAGGAGAATGAATGAGTGAAAATGGGGAATTCACACAGATGGAAATCTAAATGCTGACAGCTACTAGGTGGGATGCTCAGATCCCACGGCAGTCGGGGAAGGCCCACCAGAATAAAGAAGAGAGCCGTTCTGACCTGGCGGCCTGCCGGTGCTCACAAGGAACAGAAAGTCCTACCACAGAGCTGCTGCTGCAGAGTGCTCTCGTGTGCTACAGAAACGTGAAGCTTTAGAGCACAGCTGAAAAGTGGCCTGGTGGGTAGGTTAAGTTAAAAACTCATTTACTCACCAACCATATTTCCTGGGCACAGCTTTATAGAAATAAGAGCATGAGGACACATGTACAAAAATGTTAATATAATCACGGAATTTAGTAGTTGTGAGAAAAAAAGGGAAAGGCTATTGTTAAGAGCTTGGCTGACCTGTGTGGAGCACAGCTGACCTGTGTAGAGCACAGCTGACCTGTGTAGAGCACGGCTGACCTGCGTGGTGCACGGCTGACCTGCGTGGAGCACGGCTGACCTGTGTGGAGCACGGCGGACCTGTGTGGAGCACGGCTGACCTGTGTGGAGCACGGCTGACCAGTGTAGACTACAAGCCATGGAATATTATAATCCACTGAGCAACGAGTTAGAACCATGCCAGTTAATCAGAAGAGGTCTCCACAAGGCTGCACTGGGCACAAAAAACCAAGGTAGAAGAGTAAGGATCAGATGATCTTCTTTTTAAAGCAGCAACCAAATAACAAACCTTATCATGTGTGCATGGACACGGGAAAACATGAGGAAGATACAGACTTTCACATTGCTTGTGAAGGAACGGAGGGAGAGAATGAGGGAAAATAGCCTAGCTGTTATGATATGATCAGAGCTATGTGCTCCTATAAACTGTGTGGGTGTGTGTATACTATATGAGACTAAAACAAAACAAAGGAGGGGAAACACTTAACTCAAAAGAAATCACTTGGCTTTGTACGTCTTACATGTACACCCCAGCCTGCTGCTGTTACCAATGACCCTGGGTAAACCACTGGGCCTCGCCGCGCCCACCTATCAGATGATGGGCACGAAGCACACCATGTGTAAGGTGATTTCCGGCTCTGGTGTCCTCGTTCGATGCCTCCTCGTCCACAGTCACTCGGGTTTGAGGACTAGGGGTGGATTTTTGTTTCCCTAACAGCACTGTAGCTTGTGGAAACCAGGCAACGGGATCCAAAACAGAAACTGAGCACATTCCACTACCTGTTTTCTGTTTCACCCACTCTGACTTTTGTTCTCTTAGCCTGGCAACGCTCATGTTCATGATGCTGCATCGCTGTCACAGTGCACGAGCCATGTGCTGGGCCCAGTTGGCATAGCCCACCATGCAACTGGAAGGCCCGGGTGCCAGTTCCCTGGACAGAATCGTGGAAATGCCTTTGCTATGGAAACCGAGATCTGGGTAAGGAAAGGGCACAGTTAGTGATGGGATGCAAAGCAGTCAGTCTCCTCCGTTGGCCACCCCATACCCTCAGATCGCCCCATAGCCGTTAGAACCATGATGGATCAGCAGTCACATGCTTCTACAAGCCCGAAATCACAGCCAGAACTTTAGGAAAGAGTGACCTGAAGGAAGAGGGTGGCAGAGCGCTCGCATCAAGGTATGGACTTCAGGAAACAGAAAATAAAAGAAGCCCTGAAGAGCAAAGTCCCCTGAGTCAGCTGGAGAGGACCTGAGCAAGGTGGAGGCAGGCTTAAACTGTGCGGTTAACTCAGGACTGCAGCCTGAGACGGTGACAAGGAAAGGGACGTGTGGTGGTGGTCATCCAAGAAAGCCGAGGCTGTAGGAAGACCCGAGAGTAAGATTTCAGTGGCGTGTGGACTTCCCTGCAGATAGCACCGACGAGCAGGAACGGAGGCCACGGAGACAAATAGCTCAAACTTACGGAGAAAATATAACTTTGCCTACATACTAAAAATTTCAAAATATTATGAAATCATCTTCAAAAGGCTGAGGAATCGTAATTTATAGGCTAATTAGCTTTAATTATCAACTTGTCATAGCAGGGGCATCACCTGAGAGGAAATCTTCACTTCAGAAACTGTCTCAATCGGATGAGCCTAAGGGCATGTGTGTGAGGGATTGTAAGAGGGTCCAGCCCACCGTGGGTGGTGCCATTCCTAGGCAGGTGGCCCTGGGCTGTATAAGAAAGCTCTCTAAGCAGGAGACTACGAGAGAGCCAGCAAGCAGTGTTCCTCGGGGTCTCTGCTTCAAGTTCCTGCCCTGACTTCCCTCAACGATGGGCTGTGTGTGACCTGAAAATATAAGCCAAGTAAGCCCTTTCCTCCCGGAGTTGCTTTTGGTCAGTGTTTTATTACAGCAGCAGAATGAAACTAGAATGCTTTACAAGCTACCACTTTTATCTGAGATTAAACATCATGAAAAAAATATGTTGGTTTAGGATAGGAAAATGAAACAGAAACAGTGATTGTTTTGTGGAATATAATCTAAAGTGTTACTTTATAAAATTATTTTTGTACTTAGTAATAATGTCTGTGACCTATGGGTCAGCAGTTGTAATGATTTCCTCATATTAATCTTATATAATTTGCAAAGTAACCATGCGGGTGGGCACTGAGTGTCCCTGTCTTAGACCCGAGGACGGTGAAGAACAGTGAGAGCCACACAGGTACTAACTAGTGTTAGAGCCAAGATTTGAGCCCAAGATAGCCTGACTTGGCACACACCGCTTTCATCCACCGTGCCTAACACTTAACACGAAGAGCATCCCTTGGAAAGATGTACTCTCGCTTCAGAAAATGCCTCCTGCCTGCTTCAAGTCCACTTCATGAAGAGAGATTCACTACCACTTCCAAGTGGGTTTTTGTTTAATTTTGGTTTTGTTTTCCACATTAAGGTCTCAGTCCTCCCAAGTGTACGACTCACTCTGCCCAGAAATGCCTGGGTCAAACTACATACTGGATTTCTTCTTTTCTTTCTTTTGTGGCAAGGGCCTCACTTTGTGGCCCAGGCTGGCCTGGAACTTATGGCAATCCTCCTGCCTCAGACTCCCAAATGCTGGGGCTCTAATTGTGAGTCACCACAGCTGACTTACAGCTCTTTTTCTCACGTGTTTTCTGGACCAAAGGAAAGCAAGATTTCTCTGTGAAAGGCAAAATATCATAGTATTTCAGGCTCTACCAGTCATGGTACTTTCTGCCGCGGCTGCTTGTCTCTGCGTTCACAAAAGCAGGCAAGAACACCTGGGCAGACAGTGTGGCTGAGTTCCACACCAAACAGCTGGCATCCAGGTTGGTCCTACAGATCCCACACGTCAACTCTTGCACTAGATCACAAGGTTTCCAGGCGAATATACCATGTAATTCCTTCACAGATTCCTTCTCTAGAGCAGTCTAAATCCAAACTCCCCTCTCATAACTTCTTGGCACATGGTTTACACACACCTCAGTCTGTAACTAGTTTTCTCTTTGGTTATTAGTAACATCCAAACTGGATTCCTGACACCTAGCAATTGCTTGGGATAAAAAGATGCTCAGTCAGTATATGTTAGCAGAAGACTAGGGGCAGTGGAGGAAGAGAGAGGAGGAGGAGGAGGGAAGGGAAGGGAAGGGAAGGGAAGGGGAGGG